AAAAAAAAAACCCAAAGCAAAATGCTAAAACAAAAATTCCTCGAATTCAGCCGACTCTGTCAGGCCGGATTGGGGTGGGGTGGGGTGGGTGGGTGAGTATATGCATTGCGTGACACACGTTTCAGCTCTTGAAGCTCCTTTCGTAGCCACTCGCGCCAGAGTCACGCAACGCTTCCCGTAAGGGGAGACCTCGGGTTTTGTCACTGGTTTTGACAACCTCGTTCCGAGGGCTTTCCCCCAAGAGATTGGAAGGGGCGGGAATCTTCCCGTCCTCCCAATCTTCTCTAAGGGAAATACCCCGGGAACGAGGTTGGGATTTTGAATGTCTTACCATTCGTAGTCTGAGTGGGTGTCGTGGCATCCTAAATACTTATTTACGAATACTTTTGATACTAACATTTTTAATAGGGATAATTGTTCGTTTGGAGGCGAGATATCGGTAAAAGATGAACTGATCTTCTTCAGCGACATGTCTGGGAACAGAGTTCATGTAATTGATGTGCAAAAACAAAAGGTGAGCACTTCACGAAGGGGAAGAAAGAGTTTAATTAATCCGTATTAACCACAGTTTATTATAGAAACTGCCGCGTTAATTTAAGTTTTTCGCCACTGAGACAGATCGTAATGTCATAAACAAAAATTACGATACTATCACGTGCGAAAGAACCGATGACGTCACGATAGGATTAAAAGACTGTGCTCGCTCGTGAGATATCGAGCTTAACACCCATTTGAGCAGTAATGCTAAATAAGCAATGAAAAGTTGAGTTCGAGATTTGTCGCAAATAAACTTTGTGCGGAAACGCACCGGGGATTTGGTGTTTTTTTCTTTAATTTCTTATTATGAATCTCAGGTTGTAGAAACAATTTCCACTGGAGGATATCCATATGATCTTTATTATCTGCCTTGGCTGGAGGAGGTCTGGGTTCACACGTGGACCAACTCCACCTTTGACGTCATCAATATTGCGGGAAACCTGGAAAAGACTCACAAGGCTATCAAGGCGCATGTGCAACCAGGTAAGCTGGGTCCCCCAGTCCCCCTCCTTCCATCTGTGCGTCTCCCACTCCCTCTCCCGAGTTACGCCTGCAACGCAAACGTTCTGCTCATCACACAAGGCGTGGTTAACATGCCACCCGCGCGCTAGGCTTGTCATTGGCGTAATCAACGCTATCACGTGCGTGGTAAATACAGGGCTACTCCCAGTTTTCTTTGTGGATTCCGATAGCCCTTGCTAAGATCAACCTTTTCACAGAGTTCTAATTTGGCGAAAAGACCTTTGTGTGTAGTAAGCACCGTCCTTGAGACAGTCATGTTTGTAGTTTAAAAAAAAAAAACCGTCCAACCCTTTTACCGTATTTTGTCCCAAAGCGACCAAAGGTATTGATATCAACGGTTTTTTGTGTTTAGGCTGGACACATGGTTTCATGTACGCTTATAAACAAGTGAACAATGGCAAAGTGGGTTACGTAACTCACATGTCTGACCCAGGTCTCCACCGACTCGACCTATCAACCAAGACATACAAAGACTTTGTGAACGTTTCAAACTACGGCTGTACAGGAACTTTCAACTTTGCTTACAGTTCCGTGAACGAACATGGATTCTTTGATTGCCGTGGAACAAACTCCATTTTGGAGCTAGACGTCTCAACCGATCAAATCGTCCGAAAGTGGAATTTCACCGGTGTCCCGTACGCCTCTCCTGACGGTCGCTCTATTGTGACACTTTACAAATCCGTCAACGTATCAATCAACGTACTCCTTGCCAGCAAAGTGTATGTCCTTGCTATTACAGGGAACAGCGCTCCCACTTTAAAATCCACCATGGATATCCCTGGAGGTGTCAGCGAGCTAGTGTTCGACCCTGCAAACAGCATGGTATCTTACATCAGCCTCATTTACAGCGATAAGATTGCAGTGTTGGATCTCAAACTTCTCAAAGTCACCTACATCACCGGTGTTGGAGGCGTGTTTTCTAGACCCGGCATGCACGCCATCAGCCGGCCCCTTATCATAGCAGACTCTTGGATTGTAACGCCAGCCACTGCGAGCAGCTCCGTTGCCATAATCAACGCAGCGACCCAAGAACTGCATGGCATGGTGTCAGGGGTTCCTGGGGGTAGGGGTTTAGTAGCGGTGCAGCTGAAAGCTCTCTCTCCACCTGCATCTGTCGCGGGATACCGCTACCTTTCACAGGAGATGCTTGCCTTCATCTTGCCGTCTGCTCTGTATGTGATGGTTGGGTGAGACGAGGAGGACTTTCGGATTATGTGTTGATCTTGCTTGCGAGTGATAGAGTTAACTTTGGTAGACTAGACTTTGACAATGCTATAGCGCGGTTGTTGACCACAACACTAATCAAATGCAAATTAGCCATTTTATAGCGGTTTTCACTTGAGTGTCGAACAGTGATAGGTTTTGCATCACTACGCTGGACGATTCACCCAAAAATCTTGCGCCGTTTTCTATACAATCAGAAGTAAAACCAAAACTAATCGTAACTCGCTCCCACACGTTTTCCCGCGCTTCGCGTCAGCTACATGTACTTAGTTAAGTTTTGATTGGCTCACTGGATTGTGTGTAATTTGTGATTGGCTAGAGTGTTTACATCGGTTTAAGTTTCACGATATTCACATGTTGTCCACGTGAAAGCCTTGAGACAATACAACCATGTCCCAATCACCGGACTGAATAAGCTGGTCAATCACAGGAGAGCGCAATGTAGAAAAATAGTTGCGTAGCCTGACAAATCATGCTTGCGAAGGAAAATAAACAAAACAGCCAAATATACACTACAACCAAAGTTATTTTATTTCAATTGTATTCTATATCCTATAATTCTAATCCTTGTCCTCTCTTCTTTTCTGATGATGAACAATCTGTAAATTCTAAGGAGATGGAGCCGTTGTGGGACTTCAGTTGTGTAAAATCGTCTCGTAGATAGCTTTTACACCCATCACCACATCCATCGCTCGTGTCTTCAGCGACAGCTGCGNCATTTACAGCGATAAGATTGCAGTGTTGGATCTCAAACTTCTCAAAGTCACCTACATCACCGGTGTTGGAAGCGTGTTTTCTAGACCCGGCACGCACGCCATCAGCCGGCCCCTCATCATAGCGGGCTCTTGGATTGTAACGCCAGCCACTGCGAACAGCTCCGCTGCCATAATCAACGCAGCGACCCAAAAACTGCATGGCATGGTCGCAGGGGTTCCCGGTGGCAAGGGATTGGTCGCGGTGCAGCTGAAAGCGCTCTCCCCACCTGCATCTGTCGCGGGATACCGCTACCTTTCACGGGAGATGCTTGCCTTCATCTTGCCGTCTGCTCTGTATGTGATGGTTGGGTGAGACGAGGAGGGTTTCCGGAATATGTGTTGATCTAGCTTCCCAGTGATCGAGTTGTAACTTTGATAGACTAGACTTTGACAATGCTATAGCATGGTTGTTGACCACAACACTAATCAAATGCAAATGTAGCCACTTTATAGCGGTTTTCACTCGAGTGTCGAAAAGTGATAGGTTTTGCATCACTACGCTGCACGATTCACTTAAACAGCTTGCGCCGTTTTCTATACAATCAGAAGTAAAACCAAAACTAAACGGAACTCGCTTGCACACGTTTTCCCGCGCTTCGCGTCAGCTACATGTACTTAGTTTAAGTTTCGATTGGTTCACTGTATTGTCTGTGTAATTTGTGATTGGCTAGAGTGTTTACATCGGTTTAAGTTTCACGATATTCACGTGTTGTCCACGTGGAAGCCTCGAGACAATACAACCATGTCCCAATCACCGGACTGAATAAACTGGTCAATCACAGGAGAGCGCAGTGTAGTAGAATAGTTGCGTAGCCTTACAAATCATGCTTGCGAAGGAAAATAAAGAAAACAGCCAAATATACATTACAATCAACGTCATTTTATTTCACTTGTATTCTACATCCTATAATTCTAATCCGTGTCCTCTCTTCTGTTCTGATGATGAACAATCTGCAAATTCTCAGGAGATGGAGCCGTTGTGGGACTTCAGTTGTGTAAAATGGTCTCGTAGATAGCTTTTACACCCATCACCACATCCATCGCTCGTGTCTTCAGCGACAGCTGCGGAAATAAGGTAACCAGACATTTTGGTTAACTCTTAACAGGGCGAGTCGTTTAATTTGAGGTACTAAACGGCTGGACAATGGGGCACTGACCGAGTGACCGATGGACTTGACTGACTGACTGACTGACTGATGGATTGATTGATTGATCGACTGACTGACAGACAGCCAGCCAGACAGACAGACAGACAGACTGACTGATGGATTGATTGATGGATTGATTGATTGACTGACTGACTGACTGACTGACGAAGGTGAAGACGGCCGGTGACGCTAGTCGCGCCTGATATACTAGCTGACTGACTGACTGATTGATTGATTGGTTGATNCTGCATGATTGACCAACCGACCAAATCGATCTTGACGCTTGGAAATCGCTGTACATAATCAAACATCGTGTTACATACTAACTGACTGACTGACTGATTGATTGATTGATTGATTGATTGATTGATTGACTGACTGACTGACTGACTGACTAGAAGGTGTAGACGGCCAGTGACGCTAGCTACGCCTGATGTACTAACTGACTGACTGATTGATTGATTGACTCACTGACTAGAAGGTATAGACGGTCAGTGGCGCTGGCTAAACCTGAAGGGCCGCCCACAGTCACTTGAGTTTGCGGACCGGATGGTGCTAAAGTTGATCACGTACAATGATTTGAATAACAAGCACTTGTACGATGCATGGGCATGTCGGATTTCAGAATCGGTTATTCTATTACATTAATTTATTTACCCTCGGATTTCAGAGTAGCTTCTGCAGCTAATATCTCCGAGCATTTAACCATCGGATCAGAGACACCGGGAACTGCGTCCCCTACTCTTTTCGATTAACTGATTAGCTGATTAACAGCTTGTGAATCAACAAAGCAAGGTAATTTACCTGATCACTGACAAGTGACTTACCTGTACCACAGGGTTACCAGGTTGCATTTTGAGCTCGGCAAGAACCCAGATGCCGTTGGTGAATTTCAGTGATTGATATAACATGTCCTAGGAAAAGAAACAAATAAGGTTTTAAAACAACTGCAGAAAGCTATCTGTAAAGTAAATGGTGCTGCTCCTTTGATAAACTTGACCAAATAAGAGTTCTTGAAAAAAAAAATGAAACTATAAATGATACGACCTTGTGGTTTTCTGGAAAAGCGGGAGCTACTTACGTGTTGGCAAAGCGTTTAACGGTATGGTATAACCAATGCGTTGTGATCGTTAAATGCCACGGAAAACGTCTTAGTAGGAATTATAGACACACCAATTAGTCTTCCCGTCATTCAATGAGGTCGTATCGTGTATGGTTTATTCTATGCTTCGGACAACGTCTTTCCAATCAGAGCCGGGATGTTCAAAGCCCGATTACGCTAACACAGGATTAGCGAGAAAATTGATTTCAGATCTGTAACTTTTCGGTGAGGTTTTCTGTTTATACTGTTTGACTTTCAGTTTCGTTAACCGGCTTTCTACACTTGCCTGGCCTTCCACGGTACGTTTGGCGATGGTAAAGATATTGTTAGCAGAGAGTTTTTGCTGCGCAACATCTAAGAGGAAAAAAATAACAACAATATAAGCTTGACACTCGCTAAAAGAACTGAATGGTCAGCGACAAAGAGAAACCGCAGCACTACCTGACGAGTAATTCACGTTAGAGATTTGATTCTGAACTTCATTGCCGGCAGGAATGTCCTTCCAAGTTGCCAAAAATACTTTGCGGTCTGGATCAAAGACAAGAAAGAAATATTACAAAAATTAAAAATATGTCAATATGTCAGCAAAAACAACCACTGCCTGCAAGAAGACTCACTGTTGCGTCACAGGAACGAGCGGCGAAGAACGAATCGAGCGAAGCGATCTGGCGGGGTGCTCGCAGGCTAAAACAACCACTGATTATTTAGACTACGTTTAGTCCATGACGCAAAAGAAATCGCGAGAAAAAAATGGCCGCGCAAACTGTGGGGGTGAGGAGCGCGCGTCTCGTCCAAAGGATTTTACGCGGCCATTTTTTCCACGCGGTCTCGCTCGACGGGCTGACTATTACTTGAACGACACAGATATAAGAGGAAGCACAGGGGAAATAAATGACCGAACGAGGACACGCCCGCCCTTTTTTTTTTCCAGACCAGTATTTAGAAGATCTAGAAAGATTCATCAAACCAGTGAATAATAAATAACCTTGATTTACCCTTGGAAGTGTTTATAGCGCAAAGGCTAGGGGGGCCGAGCAAACAACTGAAACAAATAATTTATTTTGAACATAACATTGGTAAAAAATTCCAACTGGCCGGAGGCAAACCAGTTGGCTATTTACAAGCGTGGCCGAGGATTTCAACTCGGGGCTACCGAGAAACAAATCCAGATAGTGGTCAGAGTGGGACTTCAACCCGAGACCGCTGGATTGCGAGTCCGACGTGCTGACCACTCGGTCACGCCACCTCCAGATAAACGAAAAGATTGACCAACACAATAGATGTTTACCCATCTGGCCATCTTCTACAAAGAACACGTGATAAGGCACAGTGCAACTGAAGTAGAATATATCAACGTTGTTTTTGACTGCCACTTGAAGGTTGGTCAGCGGATCCATTCTCTGTACAGCGCCAGCTAAAATCATCAGAAATCAAATCAGAAACTTCTTATGTCTCAAACAGTCTACTCAGTCTACTCTCGCCATATTATTTTGTTTACCACTTGAGTTAGATGTTACGAAGACTCTGCAGGACTGCAAGCCATAAAATGTAAACCACTCAGCTGTGATTTATGAACCTAGTAAACGGCCTAGCTCGCTACGAGTTTGCCCGTAGTAGAGAAAATACGCTACTTGCCAGCTAATCAGAATTTATAGGAGCTCAGCTAGGGCATCATGAGTTATTTTGGCCACGTACAAAATTGCCTTTAAAATTGAAGGAAACCAAAAAATAATAGTTTACTAAGAAAGAAAAACACCAAAGAGATAATAATTAACCATGAAGGAACGACGATGGTTACGGATGAAGAAGATTACAACGGATTACAAAGGATGAACTTGAAAAAATTTTACGCTACATTTTTCAAGATGTGCAAACCGTGACGTAGCTTCTTTAAGAAAAGACCAGTGACAAAAAGACCCATTCATGGTTCACTAACTTGTCTGCACTTATGTGATGTTGCTACAGAAACATTCAACTACTCCGACAATTTTTTCTGGCCCTGCCAACCAATCGGAATGGAATAACTTCGCCGAGGTTGTTGTCAAATAATACATACTTGTCGAGAGAGGAAGGGAAGTTTCGGCTGCTGAGTTGGCAAGCAAAGGAGAAGGGATGTTCAACTGCACCGCTGGCGTCAGACCAAAACTAAAACACAAAAAACAAACACACCACTGTCATCCTAAACAAGTCCTATGTTTGGAATTCAGGCCTTAAATTCGAACAGTTCAAAGTGAACATGTTGGAATAGCAGGAGGTTACCTTACGCTCTGCTTTCTGTGGCATGAAATGACTAAGAGTATTGCAATTTGCCCTGGCTGTGAAGCCAGTCTATCTCAAATTATCAAAATAATTCTGATGTTCATTTGTACACCTGAGTGGAGAGCCACAAGGTGAGAGTTGAGTATCTTTCAGGGATTTCATCGACNAACATGTTTAACATAAATACTGGTTTTGCCAGACTTTTGAGTGGGGATGCCATGGAATGTGCCACCAGTCGCTTGTTTTTCTCAGTATATGTACAAGCCTTAAGTAAGTGTGTATGCCACAAGTGACAAGTAGGATATTCCAAGGTATACCACTCAAAAGTGTGGCATAACTGGTCTTTTTTTTATTGCATAGACACAAGTGTTTTACTGGAAAATACACCACTTGTAAAATTCATACAAAACCACTTCCAGGACTCGAGTGGCGTATTTTCCATATCCTCACTAGAGAAGATATCGATTACTTCACTGATATCATGTTTGACACTTAAACTGCAATTAAATTTCATGGTGTATGGTACGACAGCTACACACAGGAGAGAACAGTTCTCTGTCAGACCTGTTTAGGTGCACAATACATCCCTCCAGAAATACCAGGTCCCCCTGACAAGCTGAAAAGATCACCCAGTCCTCCCATGGGACCAACAGGCTGAGAAGGGACTGGGCCTCCACCAAGCTAAAAAAGAATGGAAATAGGTCATAATCAGATCATGCATTTTAGAGTAGTAAAGTGGTTTGCATTTGCCACGGTTTTGAATTGTGCAGTTACAGAAAACACTCATACTTCCCCCCCCCCCNGGGTGGAGCCTGGGCTGTCACTGGAGCTGCCACTGGAGCTGCGACCGGAGCAGCCACTGGTTGAGAAGCTGGAGCAGCTTCCTCAGTCTCGGCACCTGAACAAGATGAATGCCCACAATGAAATTTATATAAGCCATGTTCACCACCAGTTCATGTACAAATTACATTCAAGCCTAGAATTTCTTATATTGCAAACAACATCCCAATTCCCCTCAAACTACCAACATTCTATCTTGAAGAAGGGTTTGTACTACTCAGAGATAATGGAATTCCAAGAGTTTTGTAGAACTTGAAAATGCAAAAATTCCTAACGTTTTTAAAAAAATTCATTTGGTTTTAGTAACACAACTATAAAATTCCTGTAGTTTTCCAGGATCCTGGAAGAAAATTTAAAAATTATAGAGGTTTCCCAGGATTTGCAACAGCAGAGCAAACCTCTTTCCTTCTGATTCTTGGACACATTTTTTATTTCTATTTTTTTATTTTGACCTGGACACATAGCGTTGTACCTGGGGATGGCTCAGCTCTTGATGGAAGGGTGAATCTCCTTGCAGCTGTTCGACCCTCCACAAATGAACTGGGTGGCTTGTGGTAGACAGATGCCAGTGTGGAGATGTTACAGATGAGTTCATCAAGCAGGGTGGGTTCCAGCAGGTCTGTCTCTTCAGAAATCAAGGGTTTTTCAGCCAGCACCACCTCCTAGTAAATCAATATTAAGAAATGCAAAGCATTTTTAATGTTTTTGTCAAGTTATAGAAACACAAGTGGAACTTTAAGAGAACAGGAAATGCTGTGGGAACTGATGTACCATAGACAAGTCTTTCTGTGCAGCATTGTCAATCTGTCACTAAAAGCAAAACTTGTCAATTCTGTCACTAATGGCAAAACTACCTTGGAATCCCGATTTCTCCAACCTGCTCCTAACTCATTCCAAAAGTCATTTCCCTTTTACGATTTGCTTCAGTCAAACACTAATTTTACCCATGATTTCTCGAATGCTTGATAACTTGAACCATTTCCTTGGAGGATTCAGAGATCACGATTGTATACATTTGTGCATCAAGATATTAGCAAAACTTAATACGTAGCTGGGAAGTTTGATCATCACACCTTTGCTGCAACAGGGTCAGTGGAGAGCAATCGCCAGTAGATGTACCCCCTGTCCCTAAGATCTGGATTGTCACTATCCTGTGTCGCTAGACTCAGGACCTGCTGAACCAGCTCCTGTGTGTCAGTTGGACGCTTCAAGAACAGCTTCACAATGGATGTCAACAGCTGCAGCTGAACCTAAATTTAGGCAATGAGTAATGTTCATTGTAATCAACAACTTGGTAACTAATTAACAAATAAAAAGCAAAACTATGTGTAACACTGTCATAAAACTTGATGGGAATTTGAGAACAGGAGAGAAACTAAGAAAAGATGAGTGAGCCGGGAGGTACTTTCTGCATTTCTCAGTGGTTTAAAAGAAATAATTATTAACTGCGACACAGTTTACTTTTTTTTCTTATCAGGCTTTTTGGCACTTCCATAGATAAATATTGTTAAATGAAAATAGTCAATGATTTTGCATTTTACACACAAAGTACACAAAGTGTACTTAATGCTTCTCTTTAACTGGATGTGGGTTTGAACTAGGGTGTATTTCTATAACTGTTTCCCATGTGTCCAGGTTTTAGTGTAAATAACCTGCTCACTACTATAATTATGTATGTTTGCTTTATATAAGTATTTGTGATGTTATTACTTAGCTCTTATTAACTGATCAGGAGGTCTGTATGAGAGAATCTTGACCGAGGTCGTGAGTACAGACCGTATGCAGTGAGGTCTGTACACACCACCGAGGTCAAGATTCTCCCATACAGACCGACTAAGCTCGGTTAATAAGATGTTTATTATATGTTGTTCTGACATTTTGCTTGCAAATGGCAATGAGCTGAATTTAATTCTGCCAAAGTTTGCTGGTCCTCTTTACTTTTTTTTCTTATCAGGCTTTTTGGCACTTCCATAGATAAATATTGTTAAATGAAAATAGTCAATGATTTTGCATTTTAGTTTGCAACTTTTTCGCTGCAAAACATCACCAGTCTAGATGCCGGTCTAGATGGGAAAATCTAGACCACTTTCGATATCGATTTCAGCCAATCAAATTTGTGAATTTGATGGTTCCCTGTCCTTGTGAGACAGAGCAACATAATAAATTGTTACAGAACTTCATATGGGATCTATGCAAGACGTTTTCATACACTGATAAGATGTCATGATGTCGCAAGCTTTGAAATGACAAGCTTGCAGGTTAGAAATTTAAAAGTGAAAGCTAAAATGTGAGAACAAATGCTAGTATTCAAACCAGTGTATTCTTGAAAAATCTGGTTATTTATCCAAGTGGGAATCAAACTCCAGACCAGATAGTTTAGGATTAAAATAAACAGGAAATAGTTTTACTGGACATGAGAAATCAGTTTCACTTTTTACCACAATTATGTGAACTATCCAATTTGCAACAGTCAGGTGAAATTCACAGTGCAATAAGAGTATAGACTATGCTTATTGCTGTTGCCTTTCACAAAATGCATACCTGGGAATTCTCATCTTGGAAACCCTCCAGAAAAGACTCCAACAACTCTGCAGCATTGTCAATTCGTTCAGCATATTCACCAATGATCCAAATCATTGATGCCCTAAATGAATAAATGAACCAAAATACTGTTAGAAGTAAAGTTATGTTACATAAGGCCCCCATGAGGTCCCTCCAACATTCCCTGTCCTGGGCATTCTTTGCAGCCTCATTTTCAAGAGGCCAAAAAAGGAGTCCAAGATGGCAGGTATTTTAGGAATAAAAATGCTTAAATTCCCAGCACATCACATAATGTCTTAGTTTCATGCCGACAGTTTAAAAGGGAACCAGCCACTCTCCAGTAGAATCCATGTAGGGTCAGTGGAAGAGAGGCAGGCCAAGGAACACCTGGTGATGGGAACTTGGAAAGGACATGAGAATAATCAGGTGTATACCTGGATGCAGCTGGAAAGGCTGACTCAGGACAGGGAAAGCTTGAGAGAAATTGGTGGTGGCCTGTGCTCCAGGAGGAGCAATGAGCAGTAAGAAGAGGATACATCACTCCCTGGGTTACAGAGTGGAAGGGAAGCCATCTTTGAGTCATAAAAGAGCAACAATAGCCCAATGTAAATGTGGCTAAGCCGATAATACATTAATACAGTCATGTCATTGCACCAAATTTAACTAATTCTCACCTTGCTTCTGGTTCATCTAATGAATCCAGATTTTCACACAATGTAGAAATGATGCTCTCATACTTGTTTGGATATTTCCTGAAAATATCCTAAATGAAGATGACAGCAAGTTAGTGGTCTCTCTTATGGGCCTAAACCCTAAGTTATCTAGTAGACAAACATAACAACCTGTGTTAAAAGTAAACAAGTACAGACATATATATCCATACATAAACATAAACTTTGTACCTTGATAACTACAATAGCTTCTTGCACCACATAGTTCACTTTGGTCTGAATCAAGTCCAGAAGGGTGCTTACACAGCGTTCAGCAGATTGCTGCAAGAAAGATTGCGACAAGTCACCATAGGTACAGTAAGCAGGAAAGGGAAATTGTCAAATCACTCACAAAATTGCATTATTGCCCCCTGGACTAAGATCTAATTTGGCATCTAAATTCAAATCCTTATTTCTCACCTCTACATCTTGAGCAAAAACTACTACTGTGACACACTTCAGGTCCTAACCCTTAGCATTTTATGGTCAACAAGGAAATTGTTTTTCACTTCACTTTTTTTTTTGCTACACCCTTCAAAATCATTTGCAACTCACGGCAAACAAATGAGAACAAAACTTGAACAGATCTTAAACTAATGATTATAAGAAAATATCATGTAAGTTGGACTTTGAAATTTCAAAGGTTTGGCAACAATCTGGCATCTGAAAAACTAGTTGACCGATAAGCTGAGGAATTCTTCAATACACATGTACATGACTCTGTTCACACACAAGTTAACAATTCGGTTTTGAAAAACTGACTACAAGTGGAACTTACCTCGACTTTAATGGCACAACGCCCAATTGCACGCACAGACTTCCTTACAAAATCAACATCAACTTCAGTGGCATACCTAGCATTGAAGAATTTTTGAATAGTTAACATTCAAGTAAAAGTGATGACCTTGTTTAGTTTATTAGTGGCTCTTGGAGGCACAGAAGCCTAATGAATAAGGACTCCTGATTGAGCGATCTGGGTTAGAATCCCAGCTGTCATTCAATGTTGTGTTCTTGGACGAGAAACGACTCCCACATTGCCTCTGTGAACTGCAAGGGTAACCTGCCAGAATGCTGATGAATAACCTACAATAGACTAGCATAACATCCAGGAGTAGTAGCAATACTCCTGGCTGCTTTATGCTACGGAAACCAGAGTTAAGTGCTAAGAGTGATGAGCCAGTTAGGCTTACAGGCTTAGCACCTGGACCTCATGCTTGGTTGATAACCACCACCTATTTTAAATTGTACAAATAACCACTTCTTACTCTTTCAATTCTGCCAATACTTGTGCAATGTTCTGCTGATTTGCCAGTCGAATCATAATATCCAGCTTCTCAAGCTTGACGTAAATTGGATCATTGTACTTCACGAAGAACACTTTCATCTCATTCTTGAGGATGTCCGCCCTGAGAAAAAAAAAAAAAACAGTGTCAAACATAGGGAAAGGGAGTATAAACTTGAAAATATAATTTAATATTCGTAAAAGCTCCTCCATCTGCTATTCTTTAGATTTAATATAGTTGTAATATAAGTATGATTGTACAGAAAGATTTGTTTTATTTTATTGTAAAAACAGGCTTAGAATAAGTGTTGTAAGTGTAAGAAATGATTATTAAAAAATAAAATAAAATAAAATAAAAAATAAGGGAGAGGAGAAGGAGATTGGCTTGACATTCTAGGTACAGATGACAACTTTAGCATTAGCAGCAGACAGAACAGCTTAGTGGCAGCAGGCACAGATGGAATCACTTTTTTGGTTGTGATGATCAAAACTGAATTATCTTTAAATTTGTTTGTGTAACATGTCAGCAAAATCTCACATCACACATGCATCAATGACTACACTGTAGAGTATACCTCTTTTGTACAATCAAGTTTATGTTCCTTAGAGCAACATACTGGACTTCTGGTTCACTGGACAACAAAGTCACTGAAAAAAAGTAACACATGTTGTGAGGTACAGTGCATTGTCAACACTTGGTTTAACAAATGGAGAACCCAAATTCATATCAACTATATACCTTTGTAAAAACATAAAAATGTGAAAAATGTGAGAAATTAGAAACGCAAGACACATTCAAGCCTTTTGTAGTCTATAAAAAGAGCACTACATGTATGTACTCAATCACTCATGAAAGAAATATTTTTTTTAAATGACCTGTTTCGGGCATTATAAAGGTTCTACTCACCAAGTGGAGGTGATAGCTTCTTGACGAGGTTCTGAACATAAGGTGAAGATGGAGTCATAATTTCCATGTACTTCATGAGAACCTACAGTATCAGAGAATAATACACATTCATANCTACGGAAATCAGAGTAAAGTGTTGAGAGCAATGAGCCAGTTAGGCTTACAGGCTTAGCACCTTAGAACCTATTCTAAATTGTACAAATAACAACTTCTTACTCTTTCAATTCTGCCAATACTTGTGCAATGTTCTGTTGATTTGCCAGTCGAATCATAATATCCAGCTTCTCAAGCTTTACATAAATTGGATCATTGTACTTCACAAAGAACACTTTCATCTCATTCTTGAGGATGTCCGCCCTGAGAAAAAAACAACAACAATAGTGTCAAACATAAAGGAGATTGGCTTGACATTCTAGGCACAGATGACAACTTTAGCAGCAGACAGAGAAGCTTAGTGGCAGCAGGCACAGAGGTAACCACTTTTTTGTTGTGATGATCAAAACTGAAATTATCTTTAAATTTGTTTGTGTAACATGTCAGCAAAATCTCATATCACACATGCATCAATGACTACACTGTAGGATATACCTCTTTTGTACAATCAAGTTTATGTTCCTTAGAGCCACATACTGGACTTCTGGTTCACTGGACAACAAAGTCACTGAAAAAAGTAACACATGTTGTGAGGTAAAGTGCACTGTCAACACTTGGTTTAACAAATTGAGAACCCAAATTCATATCAATTATATACCTTTGTAAAAACATAAAAAATGTGAGAAATGTGAGAAATTAGAAACGTGAGATGCATTCAAGCCTTTTGTAGACTGTAAAAAGAGCACTACATGTATGTACTCACTCATGAAAGAAATACTTTTTTAAATGGCCTGTTTCAGGCTTTATAAAGGTTCTACTCACCAAGTGGAGGTGATAGCTTCTTGACGAGGTTCTGAACATAAGGTGAAGATGGAGTCATAATTTCCATGTACTTCATGAGAACCTACAGTATCAGAGAATAATACACATTCATACACAGTACATTTATCCATGTAACTTGCACTTCAAAATACATTAATCATGTAGTTTCTACCCTGTCAAACATGTACATGTAACATAATAGAGAAGTTTCAAAATGAAGAACATGGATTTCAAATACAGTGTATTCCCTTATTGTTGAAATAATTACAAAAGGCTAAAAGGGGAAAAATGTTGGCACCTCTCCCCATTGTTGAAGGTCCCATTTTACTATGGTCAAGGCAAGAAAAACACATCTTTCTTCCCATGATACACAAATTTGATGCCACTGGTGAACATAAAACTCTCGGAACTACCACTACATGAAATGTGTTAAATGCAATTTAACAAAGTTAACAACAAAAAGCACCTGTGTTCCTGTAGTTGTCAGTGGTGTTTTGATATGTGCATGCACCAGGATTCCATGTGCTACCGGACTGAGACGTGTTGGCAGCCTTCACAGTGATAGTGTTTACAGTGGGTATTGTTTTGCATGGGACCACGTCTTCAAGCATTCCCCCTCCCTTCCCTCCCTCTTTCCACTGTTAATTCAGTGTGACGGGTACCTGGCTCCCCTTCCGTGTGGGGGCTCATGGCTTGGTTTCCAGGATTTGCCAGCCATGGGAGCAGTCTTCATCTAGAAGCTGGCTGCCAATAGTGGAAGCTCCCGGATGTCTCAGGGACACAACCTCCATTTAGCGAATCGGATGCAGTTGTCAAATGGGTAATGAGAATTGCATGATGATGATACCAGACGAACCAGCGTCCTTACCTTTACAGCTGAGAGAACAACGGCAGCGTTGGCGTGAGATAACCTGGGTGTGACTCGTTCACAGATACTATATCAAAAGAGAAAGTGACAAATGAGAACCTTGCACATCACTGATAAAGAAGTAATCAGACAACATGAAACAAACCAGTAAAACACTTTGGCACAAGGCAAACATTTCCCTTAGTGTTTGCTACCTCTGTGCTTCTGTCAAGTCATGGACAGTCTAAAAGTGAAGCTCTTAACAGGTCCACTCTTGCAGAGTGTTTCCTTATTAAGTACAGTGTACAATACCTCTGAGCTTCTCGGTCATCTTTGGGGGTGTACTGTGCCAGGGAATCAAGAATAAAGATCTGGCCCCACCTACGAATGATAAAACAACAACCTAAGAATAAAATATTGACAACCAGTTTATGTGGACTTTTTCTAGTTAAGAAAAGAAGCACAATTATAGACTGAACCACATGTAGCATTCAGCTAATCAAGGCAGATCAGTTATTGTCAGGATAATTACTATATAACAAAACAATACCAAACAACACAGAAAGAAAAAGAAAATATTTGCATTACTTTTAAATAAGTACTATGCTAGATAACTTAAACAATACAAGAGGTGTAAAGAATAACATTTAGGCATCAAAAATTTTCATCAAGTTGAGTAAAACCTCCATATCATGGGCAACAGTATTGTTAACACATTTTGAGCCCCATTTTCTGGTTTTTGAAACCCATTTCAGTCCTATTCCTATACTTCTACCTTGGCAAACAAAAAAACATTCATGAAAAAATTCAGAGGAAAAAATTTAGGGGGAGGGAGCATTGTGTTACTGGGGGGGTTAATGCTCCACTACCGGTACTCACTCAGTGCATTCATTAAGTGCTGTCAGTAGCTTATTTATTGTTTGCGAGTTGATTTCCATCATAGCAGCGGCAGTGGGTGACACATCACCGATCTCAGACAATGCTGCTACCGCATTTGCCACAACCTGAAGAACAAAAAAGGACAATGACAAAGCTTAAACAACTTTAACTGAGTTGTAAATTTTGTGTAAATTACCATAACATGACCACAATATGTGAAATATGCATTCATGCATGCATTTATGCATATCTACAATCAACTTATGCTTGCGTAAGATCTCATGACCCACCAGAAGCCAGTGCTTATCTGTAGCTTCAGTAGCACCAAATGACAAAAAGTATTTCAACTTCACGCAGGACAGCATTCAAGTACATTGTTGGGTTGACCTCCAGCATTTCATTTGCTGGTTTCCATTTTACAGTGAGACAATTGAAACATGAACACTTGACATTTTTGCTATTTTTTAGTGACTACAAGATGAGGGCTCTTTATATAAACAATAGTATTTAGCCTTTTTACACTGTAAGAAAGCTAATTTTATACATTCTATGAAGAGCCTGCATTCCATACTCATCAACAAAATGATAAAAAAAAATATCAATTATTCATGGGTCGGGTGTCCCTAATGTAAACCTGGAGAGCCACCATGCTTCCCACTTTGATTAAGCTGCACTGTAGAAAGCACAATTCTGAGAGGCAAAATCTAATATCTACACTAAAGGAAACCCAGCTGAGAAGAACCCATCAGTTTGAAGTGAAGATGATAATGATGATAACAGAACGACTATATTACAATGTCCTTTAAGCTTTAGTAGCACTAAAAATTCAACTAAGCCTTCAAAGCATTGTTTTCTTGTCGCTAGGCTATAGTTAACATTAATATCAACATTACCTTATCCTTGAAATGGAATTGTAATGAGTTAATCTTGTTTCAAACCTACCATAGGATTGGAATCAGACAAAAGGTCCTTCAAGGAGTCAAGGAAACCTTGATCTTCTACCAGTTGAGAGTTGATGTCGTGGAGTTTTGCGACACAGACTGCTGCGGTCTTGCGCACATAGGGATCCTCATCCTTCAGGCACTTGCGGAGGGGCTCGCACAGGTACTCTGTGATCTTATCAACACGGATGCAGCCCATGGTGCGTACAGCCAAAGCACGGATTAGTGGATTTGGATCTTCACAATCCTGGGTTATAAAACCAACAACATTTTACTTTTTAAAGGAATATTGAAATGATTTCAATGTTTAACACCTAACGTGACAGAATATATATCCTGAACGAAGGTATGAAGTTAGTCTCCTGTACAGATTTCTAAATTTGAGACAAAAATCACCCCACCTTGACAAACGTATTGACCGCCATGATGGCCATGTCGGGCTGAGACTTGGCGTAGTTCATCAGGTACAAATACACCAACTTCTTCAACTCCAAGTTATCAGTTTGCATACAGTTCACAACATCAGGAAACAGCGAACTAAAAACGAAAATATGGTGGTCCATAAAGAGATGACTACATGTAAGTAAGGTGCGCATACAGGGTAATTCCTTCCTAAATGTCTCCCGGCAGGATGTAAGCAATCTGAACAATAGCAAATAACTACTAAGGAAATAAATTTTGCCTTCAGCTGACGCTGCTGTCAGTTGATGAGATTCCAAACTTTCCGCAGTAACATTTAATACAAGAAATATCTGGTAAGTAGTTTGGGGAAGTGACACTGATCCATCCGCCACCATGCTTCCTCACCTGACATCCTTTCCAACAGTCATACTGGCAATTACTTTCTTCACTGCTTCCTTCTTGCGATCTTTTTTATCACTGTTCAGCTCAGCCTTGAGCTCAAAAATCTCCCCTGAAAGATGAATGCAATGTGATAACTCCCTATGGAGAGGATGGTAAGGAGTGAAGGGGCTGGAAGACCATAGGAGGTAGTAGAGGAAAGACAGGAAGAAGACTTTGTGAGAAGACAAAATGTAAGGTAATCACTAACCTTTTTTGGTCGTTGTAAAGTACTTGGAATCAGTCATTATGCCTGTCACGAAAACTTGATTAGAATCTATTTTGCATAAAATACATGAAACTACATGTACATATACCTGCCAATCCCCAGAGTACAAAAATCTGGAGACATCTAGAAAGGGCACCTTAGAATTCTTTTTGCAGTGAACCAAAATCCATGCTGGCCATCTTCACATTGACTGATGTAAACTGTGTGCGAAAACCACGTCAACTTTCTACCATGTATTGTGCAATTTGATTGGTCAAGATTTCTGACCAATTATGATACTTGTTAAATATATATCAATTTGATTGTTCTGTTTTACATTTTCCGATCAAGAACAGCTCAAATAAGAGCACTAAATCCACTTCTTGTTTCATTTGCCTTTTTGAAATCTTGAAAATGATGCAATTAATGAAAAAATGTTGAAAAAAGCCATGGTAGGTATCTCCCTGGGGATTTGGTGCTGAGACCAGGAGATCTGATGAAAAACTTGGAGACTCCGGGAAAAACTGGGAGAGTTGGCAGGTATGAAACTACATGTATTCAGTAGTTTAATATCTAACAGCTAATAAAAATAAGTGATTGGAAAAAAGCAAAAAAACATGGACAGCAAGAAAGCCTGAAAGTGCCCTGAGCACCATTCTAGGGCTCTTCCCAAATAAAACAAAAAAAAAGAAAAGAAAAGAAATAGAAAAACTCAGAGACAACAGGAAACGCTGCGAGTTTCCACAGCCTTTTCAAGTTACACTTAGCTTGCACAAGCGTTTTCCTGTTGAGTGTCTATAGGCTGATAGTTGTTCGTGAAAATTTTATGTTCCAGAAAATTTTATTGTTTAGAATGGAAGAAAACTAGGTAGCTGATCAGTGCATTCTAGCTATGTTCAATATTACAAAGCTTACACTAGTAGGCGGTGGTCGTTCTTGCATTACAAATATACCAATTTATGTCGGGTAAGTCCACGAAAGATGTATCAGTTCTACTTTTTGTAGGGAACACAATAAGCTTACTATCCATTCTAAACATGAAGCAACAGTGGATCATTACACCAGCACAGTAGAAGAATATTAGAATTATTTCCTGGATTACAGAAGCTCAGTATTAATGCGTACAAACACCTTCAATAGTTCACGTAAACAGTGCACACATATGAAAAATATACGATCAAAAGCTCACATTACTATCATCCAACCTTGCTCGTTTGGAAATTAGGCAAAACTCACTTTAGCGATCCCGATGGAAACAGATTTGCTGTCGAGAAGCTGATCCTAAAAGATTAAGAATCCAAAATGGCGCCTCCTACCAATGTTGTTACTCGGCCCAGTCTTTGCTCTTCTTGACTATGGGTTTTGTCACGCATCGCGCGCAGGCGGGCAAT